TATGTATATTATGTTAAGAGTTGATGTTTATTATGTTAAAAGTTTATGTATATTATGTATTACGTTAGATTATATGTATTATCTTTTTTAAAAAAGTATGTGTATTTTGTTATACAATTATGTCTATTCATGTATACAATTATGTGTATTCTAGTATAAAATTATGTACATTTTTGAACTTGAGAATTTTTTTAAAAAGAAAATTAACTGCTAACACATGGTAGCGAAATTTCAAAAAAATAAAATAAAATAAAAAAATCTGAAACGACGTCGTTTTGCATCAGGGCGCACAATGCAATGCGTGCCCTGGTGCAGGATATAAATTGCCTTGTGTAATAATAATATTAATAATAACTAATGGCATATTTGTCATTTCATTACTTTCTTCCTTTCCTAGAAGTAACGAATTGCAATTTATGGGGGTATACCAATGAATTGCAATTCAACCAATGGAGGCAATTGCAATTCGGCAGAATTGCAATTCCCTCCAACCAAATAATGTAATTGAGGCTTTCATTGAATTTCAATTCAATTGCAACCAAATTACAGTGTACGAAACGGGCCAATGCGATACAGAGTGATTGATTGTCTATTTACCTTTTAGTATATATATATATATATATATATCTACTATACTAATAAGAGCCCAAGAGAGTTAGGCCTATAATGGGTAGAAAAAATGGCGGTCAAATTTTTTAATCAAATGAATGGCTCAGATTGATCAGATTTTAATTTTTCCTTAAGATTTCCTAATTTATCCTTAATGAATATGATTATCCGTTAACTTTTCCGTTAAATATTATCTTTTCCGTTAACTTCTGTTAGTTCACCGTTAACTTACTCATTGATTTTAATAAGAAAGGTCTTAGGTTCGAGTCTCATCCCAATCAAAGTTGGCAGAATTAGTACTCTATTTTACTCTTATTAAATTAAATAATAATTTAGTAGCTACAACCAAAAATAATACATATGCATTTCTTTAATTTAGAATGATGTGTCTACAATGTCTTTATTCTAAAAAAATTATTCATTATCAATAAATTAAATAAGAGAAATAATTGCATTAGTTATATTATCTTTATTTTTTTCAAATATCAATTGATTATATTCACTACATTATCTATTATCTTTTTTGTGCACTATTTTTCTAATTAAATATCAAAGCTATAATACAAAATAATGTTATATATTTATTTACCAAGTATTTTATTAATACCATGAAAAAATTAAAAAAATATAATTAATAAAGCCAACCATATTAACTACTTGAGAGATTTTGTGACAAAGAGAGTATTCAAATCACACAACAAATTGAAGTGAGAACTACCTCGCAATGTCCTTGTTTGACAATCAGCAGTTAACGGTTAGCGTTAGCGGATTATACTAGAGGATTTGACCAGCGAATTTATTTAATTATTAACATTGGGTAGAAAAAAATGGCCAAATTATTAAATCAAATGAATGGTTCATATTGTTCAGGTTTTAATTTTTTTCTTTTAAGATTTTCTAATTTTTCCTTAATTATATGATTATCCATTTAACTTTTCCGTTAATTCACTGTTAGTCTAATTCTAATATTAAAGTCTAATATAGAATTATAACTACACCATTAATCTAATTCTAATATTAAAGTCTTAATAGAACTTAACCACAAATACTAATGTCGGAATCTCCTCAAACAATATTAGTATATATTTAATATTTTATGCCCTAATTTTTATTTGTTCTCCCTTATGTCCCGTATTTGGTTTCAACCATACCTATACAATTATTTTATTGACAATTATAATCAATCTTGACTATATTATCTTGCATTTGTAAACTTAGAATTACCTATTTAACCCACACGGGCTTAGCTTAATGGTTTAGTGGGTAGTATTTGGGAGAAGAGACCAAGGTTTGAACCTCGGCGGCGGCAGTGCGGGAATTATGTCCAAAGTGGCAATATTCCTTGTGCGTATCAACATTTGGCCCTGTCTGTTGAACCATTGAGTCACCGTGATTTACAACTTCCCACAATGCTCTGTCGGGTCGGAGTGTGGGGAGCCCTTGGGGTTGGGGACTCAACCTTTGGGAGAAGAATTACCTATTTAAATACGCAAATTCAACCTTCAATTATCTATGCATGAACAATTTCAATATAATCTTGCCTTAATATACTTTAAAGTACTTATTAAAAAAAAAAAAAGCATTGGGCATTATCCTAATCGTGCAATGCGCGTAAAAAACTAGTCTACTATACTAATAAGAGCCCAAGAGAGTTAGGCCTATAATGGGTAGAAAAAATGGCGGTCACAGATTTTAATCAAATGAATGGCTCAGATTGATTAAAAGATTGATCAGATTTAAATTTTACACTAAAATTTCCTAAAATACCCACACACCGTTACTAATTCCGTTAAAATTTTAAGAATTGCCGTTAGTTCACCGTTAACTTACTCATTGATTTCAATAAAAAAAAGTCTTAGGTTCGAACCTCATCCCAATCAAAGTTGGCATAATTAGTACTCTATTTTACTCTTATTAAATTATATAAATAATAATTTAGTAGTTACAACAAAAAATAATACATATGCATTTCTTTAATTTAGAATTATGTGTCCACAATGCCTTTATTCAAAAAAAAAAAAATTTATTCATTATCAATAAATTAAATAAGAGAAATAATTGCATTAGTTATATTGTCTTTATTTTTTTCAAATATCAAAATTCTTTACATTTAAATTCATCAATTGATTATATTTGCTACATTGTCCCTACAATGTCTTTATTAAAAAAAAAAAATTATTCATTATCAATAAATTAATTAAGAGAAATAATTTTATTAGTTATATTGTCTTTATATTTCTCCAACGTAAAAATTATTTACATTCAAATTCATCAATTGATTATATTCACTACATTGTCTATTATATTTTTTGTGCACTATTTTTTAATTAAATATCAAAGTTAAAATACAGAATAATGCTATATATTTATTTACCAAGTATTTTATTAATACCATGAAAAAATTAAAAAATTATAATTAATAAAGCGAATCATATTAACTACATGATGGATTTGTTGACAAAGAGAGTATTCAAATCACACAACAAATTGAAGTGAGAATTACCTCGCAATGTTCTTGTTTGACAATCAGCAGTTAGCGGTTAGCGTTAGCGGATTATATTAGCGAATTTGACCAGCGAATTATATCAACGATTGGTAAAAAGATATTTGAAAAAATTAACTGTTTAGATTAACATGTAAAATGACCTAAGGTATACATATAATAATAATAATAATAATAATAATAATAATAATAATAATAATAATAATAATAATAATAATAATAATAATAATAATAATAATAATAATAATAATACTTGTTTTTAAAAAATAAAAATATATATAATTAAGTCAATCATATTAACTACTTGGGCGATTTATTGACAAAAAGAGTATTCAAATTACACAACAAATTGAAGTGTCCTTGTTTAACAATCAGCAGTTAGCTCTTCAATATTAGTATATATTTAATATTTTATGCCCTAATTTTTATTTGCTCTCCCTTATGTCCCGTATTTGATTTCAACTATACCTATACAATTATTTTATTGACAATTATAATCAATATTGACTATATTATCTTGCATTTGTAAACTTAGAATTGCCTATTTAAATACAGAAATTTAACATTCAATTATCTATGCATGAACAATTTCAATATAATCTTGCCTTGATATACCTTAAAGTACTTAATATTGGGCATTATCCCAATCGCGCAATGCGCGTAAAAAACTAGTATATATATATGACCATAAAAAGAAAAAAAAAAAGCGTATATGAGTATTTATAAAATTTACGGAACTTATTGTAAAACTTGATAAGAATAGAGGAAACATTTGTATGTTTAGACATAGAGAAAAAATCAATAGAGAAAGTTAAAAAAAAAAAAATTTAAGGTTGGATTGCGAGATTTTAACTATTTATATTTGTGAAAAAAATCTACAACAATTCTAATTTGGTAGAGTCTAAAAAACAAAAATATAGACAATGAAATATATATAAAAAAAAAAAACGAGTTTTTCACAAAATGGTCCCTCGTATATTTCTAAGGGGTCGTTTGGTTCACGGAATGTCAAATTACCTTAGGAAATGTTAGATTGCTGGAAATGTTAAATTACGGTGTATGTTAGATTCCTGTGTTTGGTTAAAATTTGAGTATGTAATATAATCATGTTTGGTTTAGGGTTATCTTTTATACACAATATAATATCCTTAACATATTTTTATATATTTTAATAAATTTAAAAATTAAAATAAATAAATAAATAAGATAACGGTATCATATATAATTACATGATTTTAAAATATTAACTAAAATCTTAAACTCGAGAAACAAAATTATTTTATATGCTAACATAACATAATAAAAATAAAAAAATATATAATTACAAAAATAATTATATATATATATATATATGTATATATATATAAAATAAACTAACATAACCAATGTTATCTTACATTACCTATGATTTTGAAGGGAATCACATTCCCTTCAAAATCCTATGTGGAGGAAATGTGACATTCCCAAGGAATGTTAGATTCCCTAAGATAATATAAACCAAACACTGGAATGTGAGCTTTGGAATGTCACATTCCCTTGGTTATGTTATGTAACCTGAACCAAACACCCCCTAAGTGTATATTAGGCATACAATAAGTAAACGGACGAAAATGCCCTCCATTTTAACGCTGAGTTGACGGAAAACTTAATGGAGGACCAAATTATGTGAGTTTTTGAAAGTCAAGAGACTTAAATTTGGTGTAATTAAAGCCTTAAAGATCAAAATGTAAAATTGAGAATGAACAATAGTCGATAGACCATTTTGAGAAAAAACTCCATGACAAAATAAGGGTTTATACTTTATACTGCTAATTTCATTCCTATTCCCAATATAATTATATTACTCTCAATTTCCATAGAATTACCCCATTCCTCTTTATAAAAAGACCATTAACAGGCAAGAAGAAAACCCTACCCGAACCTCTGTTCTTTAGGGCTCTAGCAAGCTAGGTTTCTGCAAATATGGATTCGGAATTATCAGTAGAACCTCAATCTTTGAAGAAACAGAGCTTCAAATCTCTGGAGCGCGCTCCTCTCGATATATTCTCTCCTCTCCACGGCCACTTCTCCCCTTCCGATCCGCTAAATCTTGAGTATGGAGCTATAGCAAGCAAACCAGCAATTTATGGTCATCCTTCAAATGCCCTTGCTCTTCCAGGTCCACAAAATGGGTTTTCATCAGAAAGCAGGAACCTTTCTACTGCTGCAACAATGGAAAGAACACCAAGTAAATGGAAGAATTACAGGGTGATTAGTGGGCATTTGGGTTCGGTGAGGTCTATTGCAGTGGACCAAAGTAATTTATGGTTTTGTACAGGCTCAGCTGATGGGATTATCAAGATTTGGGATTTAGCAACTGGAACGCTAAACCTCACTCTTATTGCCCATATGGAACAAATAAGAGGCCTTGCTATTAGCAATATAGAAACCTGCGTATTCTCTGCCAGTGATGATAAACAAGTAAAATACTGGGACCTAGTACACAATCAGGTGATTCAGTCTTATCATGGCCATTTAAGTGGTGTCTACTGCTTAGCTCTTCATCCCACCTTTAATGTCCTGCTCACTGGGGGTCGTGATTCTATGTGTAGGCTCTGGGACATCAGAACCAACATGCAAATACATGCTTTGTCTGGGCATGACAACACCGTATGCTCTGTTTTAACTCGCCAAATGAATCCTTATCAGGTCATCACTGGATCACATGATTCAACTATAAAATTATGGGATATTAGATATTTTAAGACTATGGCAACACTCGCACACCACAAGAAATCTGTGAGGGCGATGGCTATGCATCCAAAAGAGGATAATGCTTTTGTGTCTGCCTCTGCTGACAACATAAAAAAATTCAACCTCCCCAGAGGAGAATTCTTGCACAACATGATTTCTCACCAGAAAACAATCATCAATGCAATGGCGGTTAATGACGAGGGTGTTATTGCTACAGGAGGTGATAATGGAAGCTTGTGGTTCTGGGATTGGAGGAGTGGCCACAATTTCCAGCAAGCACAAACTATTGTTCAACCTGGGTCACTGGAAAGCGAAGCTTGCATCTATGCACTCGCCTATGATGTAACTGGTACAATGCTTATTACTTGCGAGGCTGACAAGACTATAAAGATGTGGAGGAGAGGATGACAATGTTACCCCAGAAACTCACCCTCTTCACCATCATTTTAATAAGCAACATTACTAGTAAAATATATATATATATATATATATATATATATATATATATATATATATATATATATATATATATATATATATATATATATATTATGCAACTAGTAATTATATTTTGAAATATTTTATTTGAACAATTTTGTTACTATAAATTTTAGTGTTCAATGTTATGAATTTCTTATGAAATAGTTTTTGTTGTTGTTGTTGATGCTTATATTAATAATATATATAGAAATTTTGAAGATAGGATTTTAGGATTCTGTGGTTTTAATATGAGAAAATGCTGGCACAATTTATTTTTATTGGCTAGATTGGTTTTATCTTCCTTCATTCATTTGTAGTTAGTGCTGGATTGGTGAAAGAAAAGTTGTGAGGATTAATTAAAGAATTGAGTGAGGATGGTTTTGTTTGGTCTCTAATATAAGTTTTCATGGTATTGTATGTTTAGTGCTGGTAGGATTTTTGTAATAGGTAGGGGGTAGTTTAAGATATGGTGCTTGATGTGTACAACAATTGTTGTTGATTACTAAGTTAGTCTTTTGGCTGAAAATACAAGATGCTATTTTCTCCAAACCATAGAGCTCAAAGAAGAATGGTGAGGCAGAAAAACATTTTTAAGATGTCTGATAATTAAATACTCTGAAGTTCTATACTATTCCATTTCTTATTAATCAACTTTTTTCCTTATTTTTTCTGCTTGGAAGGGTTATAAGATTGAATATTTTATCTGTTTTTTCAGTGTCATTAAGTGGATTCACCTTACCATTGCATTTTGGTTTTATGTCCTGAACTATGTTTCAAATCAAATTTAATTAATATATTTTGAACAATTCAGTTTCACTCTAAGTATATGGAATTACTCATAAATTATTAAACTATAAATCATTAGCATTGATCTGTAAAGTCAAAGATGGACATCTCCTCTCTCTCTACTTGTGTAGTTGTGTGTATGCATTTTCTGAATCTGGGTTCTTCTACTTCTTGAAATTTCAGCATCTTAGTTAAAGGTATAATAGCAATCCATCTTATTCTTATTTTGCTAGAAAGAGAGGACACCAACGAATGTGTTTGTTCTACTTTCTGTCTAACACTCCCCTCAAGCTGCTGAAGCATAGATATTAATCATGTCCAGATTGTTACAAATATACTCAACCCTGTCCCTGCTAAGCTCTTTGGTGAACAAATCAGCTAATTGATCGCCACTACGAACATGAGCCATGGAAATGAGGCCTTGTTGAATCTTTTCACGCACAAAGTGACAATCCACCTCAATAATATGCTTGGTACGCTCATGGAATATTGGATTGTTTGAAATGTGTATAGCTGATTGATTATCACACCATAAACGTATGGGCTTCATTACTTCCACACCAACTTCCTTCAACATATTATGCACCCAAGTTATTTCACATGTCACATGAGCCATCGCCCTATACTCAGATTCTGCACTGGACTGAGCCACAACAGTTTGTTTCTTGCTTTTCCAAGAAACCAAATTACCTCCTACGAACACACAATACCCTGTTGTAGACTTCCTGTCACTCAACGAACCTGCCCAATCAGCATCTGAAAATGCCTCAAATCTCGCATGTCCATGATCAGCATATTGAATGCCTTTACCTGGTGCATTCTTGAGATACTTTACAATTCGAACTGCTGCCTCCCAATGAGTTCGCATGGGTGCTTGCATGAACTAACTTACCACACTGACTGGAAAAGTAATATCCAGACGCGCAATGGTGAAATAATTCAACTTTCCCACCAACTTCCTATATCTTTTTGTAGAATCAAAGGTCTCCCCCTCACCAGCCACAAGTCTCACACCCTGTTCCATAGGGGTCTCACATGGTTTTGATCCCAACAACCCAGTATCATCAAGTAAATCTAGCACATATTTCCTTTGGGAGATAAATATTCCTTTTCGAAAGCGAGCAACTTCAATCCCTAGAAAATATTTCAACACTCCCAAATCTTTCGTGTGAAACTTTTCTTTGAGGAAAGATTTCAGAGCTTCAATACCTACTTCATCATTACATGTGATTACTATATCATCAACATAAACAATCAAGAGAATACACCCATCATTAGTATGCTTGAAAAAGACAGTATGATCACACTGACTCCTCTGCATACAAACTCCATAATCACATTACTAAACCTCCCAAACCAAGCTCGTGGAGATTGCTTCAGGCCATATAGAGACCTTTTCAATTTACACACTCTTCCGACTCCCCCTGAGCAACAAACCCAAGATGTTGCTCCATGTAGACTTTCTTAACCAAATCACCATGCAAAAAGGCATTTTTAACATCTAGCTGATACAGAGGCCATTGGTTAGATGCAACTAAGAAAATTAAGATACGAACTGAAGCTATTTTAGCTACCAGGGAGAAAGTTTCTGTATAATCAACACCATAAGTCTGTGTATATCCCTTTGCTACTAGACGAGTTTTAAGTCTAGCCAAAGACCCATCAGGGTTCATTTTCACAACATAAACTCACTTGCAACCAACTGCAGTCTTATCGACCGGGAGGGGTACCAAATCCCATGTATGGTTGTCCTCAAGAGCAGTCATCTCCTCTTCTATTGCCTGTCTCCACCCATCATGTGCTAAAGCCTGACTCAAAGTATTTGGAACTGACATAGAATCTAAACGTGATACGAATGTACGAGATGACAACGACAAATGATCATAAGACACAAAAGAGGAAATAGGGTTTTGACAACGACGTTTACCTTTACGAAGGGCAATGGGAAGATCCAAATCATTTCACGAAGATTTTGGTAAGGAAGAAGTATTCACTTGTGGTTCGGGTGGTGCCACTTCATCTCTCGGCCGCCGAGTATAAACATGTGTAATGAGGGGTCTAGAAATAGACTTGACAGGTATGGTAATAGTATATGTAAGAAAGTCATTGTCTTGAGTAGGCCCATACCTAGACGACCCAACACCCCAGTGAACACCATGTTTTCAAAGAAAGTAACATCAGTTGACACTAAATACCGCCCCAAGTCAGGTGAATAACATCTATAACCCTTCTGAGTATGCGAGTATCCCAAGAATATACACTTAAGAAATTTTGGATTAAGTTTTCGGCGTTGAGGACGAACATACTGGACAAAACAAGTACATCCAAATATTTTGGGTGGGAGATGAAAAAGAGGTTCAGTCGAATACACTAAAGAATAAGGAATTTGACCTTTAAGGACAGACGAAGGCATCCGATTGATCAGGAAACATGCTGTATGAACAACATCAGACCAAAAGACTTTAGACACTTTCATTTGAAACAAAATTGCCCGAGCTACTTCTACCAAGTGACGGTTTTTCCTTTCTTCCACTCCATTCTGCTGAGGTGTATATGCACACGAGGATTGATGAACTATCCCAAGTTGGCACATATAAGTGGAAAAGGGTTTAGAGAAATACTCTTGTGCATTGTCACTTCGCACACACTTAATAATTTTATGAAACTGGGTTTTGATCTCAGCACAAAAATTACACAAAATTGTAAAAAACTCATCTCTAGATTTTATAAGATATAACCATGTACATCTAGAGAAGTCGTCCACAAAAGTTACGAAATATCTAAACTCATTCTTCCTTATAACATGACAAGGACCCCAGCTATCAGAATGAACAAGTTCAAATACAGATCGTACTCTTTTATTGATGCGATGAGGTAGGAAGCCCGACAATGCTTAGCAAACTCACACGACTCACACTGCAAAGTATACAGTGCTTCTAAGCTAGGGAAGAGTTTCTTTAGGACCGATAGTGATGGGTGACCATACCGACAATGTAGCTAGAAAGGAGAGGTATCACTCAACATGGCCTTAGACGTAGAAATAGATTGTTCTAACACATACAGCCCTTCGACTTCCTTCCCCTTACCAAAAATCTTCTTCGTCAAAAGATCCTGAAAGAAACAATAACCCGGAAAAAATGAGACATAACAATTCAAAGACCGTGTGATCTGGCTAACATAGAGCAAATTAAAGAGAAACTTTGGAAGATATAATATAGATGACAAGGGTAATGATGAGGCTGCACCAACACTACCTCTACCCAAAACTGGAACGGATGACCCATATGCTAGAGTAACCATACCAGGATTAGATGGAGAATATGTGGAAAAATCTTAGAATTACCTGTCATATGGTCACTAGTTCCGGAGTCAATGACACACTGTGTAGATGAAGAAGACACACATGCAACAGGATTACCTGTTTGGACAAAGGTTGCAGAAGAAGACGGTTGATTGGATGGAAAGTGGGATGTAGACTGCATAGGAGAAGACATTTTCAGTTGATTGAACGCTGCAGAGGTTGTGTCATAACTCATAATTACCATATGTCTTTCAGATCCAGAGGTTGTGTTAGCAAACCTTTGTTGCCAGGGTAGTTTAGGACAAATTGATTTTTGAAATGGCCCGGTTCTCCACAATTGAAACATACCCTTGGTCCTCCACGACCTCTTCCACCACGCCCTCGATGGCGACCACCTCCACCTTGATTATTATACCCTTCATTAGTATAATTTCCTTGAGATACAAACACACTTTCATCACTATTTATTTCTTGTGATATAAAAACACTCTTCTCAACCGGTTCATTATTGTCAGCACTTACTGCTGCATTTTGTATATGAGATAACACTTGGTCCAATGATCCTAATTCCTTGTTTCCCAATGACTGTGACCTAAGAATCTCATATTCTTTGTCAAGCCCAGAAATCCAACTAAAAACAATTAACTGATCACGTTGTGTTTTCATTGTTTTCACATCAGTTGTAATATGCATTGCAGTGCATAAAGCTTCATTTAAGCTTTTAAAATCATAATAGTAGTCTCTCATATCTCGACCTTTTTTATTAGATCTATAGACATCCTGAGACAACTGATATAATTTTCTCAAATTACTTGTCCCACTAAATCATTCAGACACTAATTCCCACATTGCTTTAACCGTGGTACAATGTTGCATTGATAAAATTACCTTTCTATCAATACAATTAATTACCTGTGATAATAAAGCTTTATCATCTGCTTCCCATTCTTTATTATCTGCATGGAAATCTTGATCTAAATGGTCACCTTTACCCATTCCATCTAAATTAATTTTAACCAAGAATCTCCATTCAGCAAAATTAGACCCATCAGTAGTCAATATTACATCAATTAATTTAGATGGAGTAGATACAACAGTAATATTCCTATTACTTCCTTCTGTCATGACTGCCTATTTGGAGATTTCTGGAAGTAATGATTCAACAACCCAAAATTTAAGGATAAGCAACAAATTATTCCCTGTTCACGTTCAACCCAGGACTGCAAACCCTAAGTGCAAACATCCAAAAACCAAAACTCCACAAAACATACATGGGTAGAACCTAGCACTCACGGCGAGTCCACCGAAGTAATCGCCGTCAATGAAGGTGAACGGAGAACACCTCACGCGCCGGCGCGTGGCGTCGGAGTAGCTGGACGGCGGCGGCGATGGTGGTGCGGCTCGAGCTCCGACGTCGCTTCCTCTTTCCGAGCACGGCCCACTACTTCACTCTCGCCGGCTCTGATACCATGTTGCTAGAATGAGAGGACACCAATGAATGTGTTTGTTCTATTTTCTGTTTATTTCTAACATCTTATATATGACATTTACCTCTTGTTTTTAGTACTTCCCTCATTTCTTTACTCTTTTTTAGATTTTGAATTGAAAATTGTCATTCTTAATTAACAATGGTACTTGTCAATTGAAATTTAGGAATGGGTAACCACCAAAAGTAGGGAAGGGAATTAAGGGATTAGGATATATATATATATATATATATATATATATATATATATATATATATATATATATATATATATATATATATATATATATATATATATATATATACACTTTTTTAAAAAAAAGTAATTGTCAACTGGCCTCAATGTCACCTTATCATAAATTGGTTCAATTTTCTTGCACTTAGTCTGAAATCCTATATACTATATATACATTTTTAAAAAAAAATATGGGGGGCCTCAAAAATTGGGGGCTCTATGCGGTCGCACAACATGTTCAGAACCGACTCTGTTAATATGCCATTTAACCGTTTTTATTACTTCCCTCATTTCTTTACTCTTTTTTTTTTTTTTCCCTGGGTCTCTTAGACCCTTAGTATGTAGATTTGGAGCAAAATGGGTACTCCGATGATAGTGAAGTAACTAGTGAATAAAGCTCTATGCTTTCAGATTTATTGATGTTTTGTTATGAAGGCATAAAAAACTTTGGTCTTTGGGTGATGGGTTGATGCATTTTTTGTGAAATGAAATGCTACTGAAGTTTGCGGATTTCATTAATCGTAAAGTGCTGTAGATGATACTATAATCTTCTGTTTTTTTTACCTTTCTTGTTGGTTTATTCCAAATGCTGAATTTTGATCCTCTTTCCATTTCTTTTTATATTTGTTAGCTTCTTTGAATCTGTAAAAGTACAGAGTTTGTGGTTTGATTGGTGCCATGATTCATGAATGACTGAAAACAGCTAGTAATTGCTATTACATCTGCTTTATATATTATTCTACAAATCTATCTATCTATACAACATACAAATCGAGATGGACACTCTACAAGTGCACCAAAGTATCCAATCCAGCTTCTTGTTTTCCTCTTATGACTTGATCATAAAGGAACTAGCAAATGATTTCTTTAATTTTTACTTTTGTTTGTTAAGCGTTCCGTGAACAAGCTAAAGCTACCTATTTCTTAGTTAGGAAAATTTTGTCTATGTTAGAATGTATGGGGTGTTTGATTTGAGGAGTTAATATACTTGTTTGCTTTAGGAGGAAAAAAAAAAAAAAAAAACACCCTTTGAGAATATTTGGCATGATGGAATTGTAATTTCATTCTTACCAAACTCTATGGAATTACAATTCCATGGTTTGGTTGAAGGGAATTGTAATTTCTAAGTTCTCCCGAGGAATTGCAATTCTATAGTTTTTGTATTGTAATTTCAAGGTGAATTATTATTTTGTCCTCATTATTATTATTATTATTATTATTATTATTATTATTATTATTATTATAATATAAGGACATTTTAGTATTTATTCACTTTTTTCTCTTTTAATTCTCAAGAATTTTATTTCAACCTATCAAATAGTGTAATTTGAATGTTTATCTTAATTTTTTCTCACAAAATTATAATTCATTTTTCTTTAATTCTTTTATTCCAACCAAACGTTTAGTATATTCCAGAAGTCA